TGAAATATTTCTTGAGTATAAATCTGTCAGAATATTGATAATATTTTATTAACAATCAATAATTTTATACAGACTGGATTATAACTCAACATTACGTTAAATATTACATGTACATTAAAACATTTAAGGTAATAGACGTAAAAAAAATATTAATAGAATATTACATCAATTTACTTCAAAATATTAAGTATTCCAATCATTAGAATGATATGCTTAATATTAGTATATACGTTCTCAAGAAGAGAAAAAACTGACAGCAGGCATGTTGCGATATTTTCTTTTGTAAATTTTATACCTAGCCATACGTTATATTTAAACATGTGTAAAACCGTTGGTCAATAATAATATAACTTTATTTCCTTATTACTCTATATCTGGTTGTGTGTTCCCTTGCCCGGCAACCTGTCTGCGGCTGGGTCCGCGCCTGTTGAGGGCGCCGAGAGCGCTTACCGAAGGCGTGTGTTGTGCTTGTCGCAGTTCTCTGAGGACGGCAACCAAAGCCTGAGCATCCTGGCGTTCGTGCCCGGCATCGACGACGACGGGAAGTACCTGACTTGCCGGGCAGAGAACCCCTGGATCCCAGACAGTGCCTTAGAGGACAAGTGGCGCCTCAACGTCCACTGTAAGTACCGCAGCCACGGCACGGCACGGCATGGCACGGCATAGCATGACCCGTCTTCAGAAAAATATTCAAGAGGGGCTGACTATTTTAAAACAATCATAGAAACTTATTTTTTAAAAATTAAGAGGAGCCATTTTAAAACAAATAGAGAAACATTTTAAATTACATGTGATATTAACTGATTCATTCCTTACTTACATTTTGTATATTTTCGTTTGTAAAGAATTAGAAAATAAAATATCTAAGTCATATTTTCGTTAATCTTTCCAATATAACTATTTTCCTTGTATTACAAGAAGTTCGGTCGCTTGATTGATTGATTAGTGTCAACGGCTACGTTTAGTCCCGTAAGTGTAGTGGATAATTTTCACTTCGGGAGGGGGTTGTGATCTTTCCCCGCTAGATGGTGAGAGCTGGCGTCGATCTATGTGTCGGCTAGCGAGGTTTTCCCTAACCAGGTACTTTCCACCAGCGGGGAACCGCCTTGGCCGGGTCAAGCTTTAAGCTTCCGACCGGCCTCCCGACATGACGTGTAATGTAGTGCCTGTAAACGTGTAAGTAAGTAAAGGGTGATAATAGGGCAAGGAAGGGGAAAAACCAAGGGAAAATACCGATGAGAGCAACCCGACGCTTGAATTCTTCTCCAGACAGCGACTGAATCCTAGCAGTCTGAATTTCAAACCTGAGATGTCGTTTAAAAATTAAAAAACAGTAGTATGAAAATAAATTCACAAATACATCATCTTGAAGTGTATTTGTATTTTTAAAATTTGTTTTAATTCCTCATTACATTACGCATTTATGTAAATAAAAAAGGCGTGATAACGAAAAAAAGGATATGCTCCGTTACCTTTCTAGGGGTTTCTTGGTGCGCAAGACTGGCAAGACAAGTGTGATAATATATGATATTGCAAAATGTCAAGAAACATAAAATACAATTCAGAATATCACTGAAAAACTAACAATTTACTTGCTATATAAAAAGATAAAAAGGCGTTTAATAAATGAACGTAGCTACTGTAATCAGTCTGACGTATGTTAAAGTAAACGAGTTGTTTAAAAAGTCGTTTTCTTTGATTAAGGTTATTATATATTATTGATAAATTATCGTTTTATTTAATTAATTCAGTAATTTGTTCAACACAATAAGTGCTTCAAACCCGACACAGTTCCAGTTACAATTCAGCATTTGAATACGATCTCGTATTTGCGTGTTCTTTTGAAGTAATTCGTATGGTTGATTGGTTGCAGCGCTGTTGCTCTTTAAACTGGGTATTTGTGACCAGTGTGTCGGAGATTCGTGGATAGCGACTCACGCCTTTTCTATGATGTTTAACGTCCCAGAAGTCAATCTCCCGATCTGGTGGATAGTATAAATGGAACTTTGTGAGCATAGAACAGAACAGACCTGTTGGCAAGTAACCGATGGAAGTGAATGGAGAAACACAATAAGCATGGGATGCTGAGTGATACATAATGCCTTTACTCTCTTGAACGTAACATGTTAAAAAGCTACTTTTCGTGTTAAACACCCGTATATTTTCCAATTCTCACCATAATTGCACGTTTTATGGTGTTGGATACCGACGAATCGTTATGAACGAACTGATTGAAAATGTTGCCTTATATGAGCGACTGGTGGAGGTTGATATACTTGCTTAAATTATTCAAGTTGATGTGACATTTTCCAACGTCATTACTTAATAGACATTCAGATTTTGATGGATTAGCCAATATCATCAAATTTGCGGTGTGGAAGTGCAGAATTAGACTAGGGAATTAGTATGGGCAATCGTTTGTTTTGCGAGGATTTTATACAATAAGTACAGTAAAGTGTAATGTGACAGGAAAATATATTGATTGGTAATGTGTGATATCCTAGAGCAACATTAATGTTATAGTATTAGAAAATGCGTACTTTAAAACACCCATAATCATTCATATTTGTTACACATTTAATGTTCATTATAAAAGAAAAGGCCCCGGGGCCACATAAAACTCATAATAGGTTGGGAATAAAGATGTGAGAGAGCACCACCCTGAATGGGGCTAGAAAGGGAATATTCGTTTAACACGGGAGAGCGCATTGTTCACGCTTGGAAAAAGACCGTGTATAACGACTCGAGTAAAATATGAGAGCGGTAATGATCTCTGGGAAGAGAAGGAATCCTAACATTACTAATAGAACCGCATGCAAGAGCGTCATACCCTATCGCACTTCTGAGTGGAAAAAGGGCTTTGAATTTTTACAGACGACTGAATATTCTCTCGCAAATAATTCTTGACATTTAACATAGGATTTTTGAAATTCCCTTTTCATTTGAGAGATCTTTGCATTTTTGGACGACAATGGATAAGCGTATCATTGTTGAAAAGATGTGTTGTAATGGGTCTGACTGCAGCGTGCCTTCGCACGTAGAGAACGATCATTCCGTGAATTTTTTACTGTCAGCTCTCAAGGGGATGAAAAATACATTTTGCAAAAGCGTTTGTCCTGGTATAACACGTTAAATTGTCATGTTCAAAGAGAACAATTCCAGTTACAAATATCGAACACAGCGTAAAAATGCTTTTTTTCGGGTTTGAATTTTCTCGAGCTTGAGCAGATAATACGAAAAAGCTATTATTTACAGTTATAAGTATGATTCGGTGATGTGATGAAGATAGAACAGTAAAAAGATAGGTAATTCTTGAAAGACATAGGTAAAATACAATAATGTAGTTGTTAATTTTAAAAATTGTTAATTAGGGTGCAAAAAAAGGTTAATTAGGGCGTTTTTGCCCCCCAAAACAATTTACTTCTATTATTATTATTATTATTATTATTAATTTTATTATTATTACTCATTAAAACAGATAAAAACAATGCGTTGACGTTGTGGAGGGAAAAATGCAAACTAATAGAATTAAATTAATTTAAATGTGTAACTAACATTTTAATTGCGATCATGGGAAAGGTAACCACATGTTATTCTCTTTCTTCAATGAAACCTCATCCATTACCTCGATATGGGAAAATATGATTTTATTTCTTTAGAAACACGGTGATATATTTAAACTAAAATGCGAAATTCCATAAATTCGCTAATTTTAATAGTAGTTACAATCAATTTGAAACTGCGCATTTCGTATAATACATTGCTATTAATGCATAATCTAAAAAAATATGAAATTCTTTCTGAGAAGTTTAATTTTATATTCCGACCTAGTGTGGGCAACAAAATGCAATAACGCTCCAGCAGGGTGTAATAATATTTTCATTTCGTTCTAATTTAGTTTCCATTCTGATAAAATAAATTTAAAACAATACTGCGTAGCTCCCCAGAAATTTCTTGTAGCGGGTTTACGACGAGTTTGGCAAAGCATCGTTACGTATTGCGCTATTTTCCTCCTCTTTTTATGATCCAGGGAGAGCTTCAGTTCGTGTATAGTACTGTTGCAGTATAAAACATTATAAAATTTAGCGATAAATTTTAACAAAGGCTTAATAATAATGAGGGTATTTTTATTCCTCCTTTGTAATCAACGTGAAAAATAAAATTACTGTATACTTACTGCGCCCGAATTTTACAACGAAATTCAAGGCGAAATATATTTCAGAAATATAAGACCCCGAGATGGGTTTCAGAGTTACACTAGGGAAACAAATGTCTCTTGTAATGAAAATAGCAAATATGGAATTATCTTTGTTTTTGGCAACCGATTTGTCGTATATATGTTCTGCTACTTTAATACTTGTAAATCTGTTGTCGCCGAGGAAGAGCTAGATATACAACAATATGCTTGTTTCATTTTTGGTTACTTCGGTTATTGGTTTCTTTTACAAAGGAACTCCAAGGGTTCGAATAAAAATGAGAGTTGCACTTTGCTCTTTGTACCGTTTGGAAGAACAAACAGTTGAACTTATTGCATACCCAAGAACCACCGGTTTAAGAAAGATACAGGCAAAAAATCCATATGTTTTTTTCGTATTAATAAAGCTAATAAATAAGCTTTATTACTTATGATATAATATTTTGTATGTGAATTTGAAATATTCTGGATGTTAGCCGCCTAGGTCTTTGACCAAACGACAAATTCCAGGACGGTGGAACAAACACAAATTACACAAATATACTTACCCACTGAGTACCCATTTCAAACACGAAGCACCTGACTAAATGAGGACACACATAAAATGTAATTCGTGGTGTAGGTGTCACGTGACATTTTGATCGATACTACTCTTCACATGTCAAAGAGTGGTATCGCGTACCTCGTTAAAGGGGTGAGATGGTAGGTCATACATGTTGGTCGCTCCACTTCGTTTCCGGAACCAACGATGTTATCAAATGTGACTTTTGGCTCCATAAGGCGAAGGTACCATGACGTTTACGTGGAAACAGGAAAATTGAGGGCAGACAAGTGACTGTATTGCAAACGAGTAATATTAAAGTATGTGATCAAATTTAATATTAAATGAACTGTACTGGGAGTCCCAACAACTACGGGACAACCCCAGAACTTTCAAGCGGGACACGATATCGAAACTCATTTTTCACTCAACAATGTGGAATTATGGGGCCAGTAACATGCAGTAGAGATTTTACTTTTCGAGATTCATCTTTGATTTTTTTAAAGTACACTAACTGCTGTATATATTTTTTCTCTAGTCAGAAATTATTCAGAAAAAGATGAATACGATGATTTTCTCTCGAATGCTAATATATTGAAAGTGGTTTGGCTATAAAATTACTTACAACCAAAATAAATGAAGAGTCGTCGTTCCCGCCATTGTTATTAGAACTACGTACGCGGAATGCTCTTTTGTTCCGCCACCCCTCCTTTGGTTCCTCGCTTTCGTTCATCGAACACGCACCACGAACGTGAAGTCGGTACAATTACGAATAACACCTCTAAAATATTTTTATTACATTGTTTCAATTTATTACCAAAAACACGCGTTTCGAATTTTTGATTGTATCTTTCCCACCACGATCAAGATATCACAGAACTAAGGA